ATTTGAATGTTTATGCATGTGGTTTAAATAAAAATGATATCTCTCTAATAATTGATATCAAAAATTTTCAAATGCATAACATTTTTAGAAAACTTTATGCATATGATCTTAAATTCAACAATTGGTATTGCATAAAGTATTTTAGTCTTGGATATATTGAATTTCATATGCTACTAACATGTTTGTTATTCTTTGTTGAAATTCAATTTTGTTTAAGTGTCAAGATCCTAAAAGCAAAATTTTATTTGGAATGCATTTATTGAGGGGGAGCTTTGATTTTTTTCAAATGATTTTTAAAATGTCAAATTTACTACTTACTCTCCAAAGTTATTTTGAACTTCAAATATTAGAGCCTTTTTGATTTAACAAAAAGGGGAGAAAGTGTTAAGGTGTTAAAGGGGAGAAGTGTTAAAGTAAGGGGAAGTAATTTCAAACTTTATTTCAAAATCTTAAAATTACTCAAATGTTTTGTTATATCAAAAAGATGAGATTGTTGAAAACATTTTGATGTTTCGATATAACAAATTAAGTTAAATGAATTTTAAGATTTTACAAAAGATTTCCTAAGTATATTCGATGTAATTATTCGAATATCAAAATATTACTCCAAGTCTTTCAAAGTTCATTTTAATCCTTACTAAAGTGTAAAATTGTGTTTTATACTTAAACTATTTTAAAATAATTTTACAAAGTATTTCGAGCCTTAATCGAGCCAAAAATATTTTCTTTTTAAAGGGTTTCAAGAAAAATCAGATTGTCCAGGGGGTACCGATTCCCCCTGTCTAACGGTCGAAAACATATTGCACTTAGGGAACCGATTCCCCATGAGGGGGTACCGATTCCCCTCACGCTCCAAGCTGTTTTATTAATTGTTTCTCATCTCCAAACGGCTCCAAAACATCCCTAACGACTATATACGACTTCAAACACATTCCAAGCTATAAATACAACCTAAGAACACTTGAAGAAGCAAAAGAACAACTATCCAAGCAATCAAACACAAGAGAAGAGTTTTTCAATCTTATTTCATCTTTCTCTTGTAAATATTTTGTTCTTGTGAGCTCAATCTTGTAAACACCTACCTTAGAGAGGTTTTATTCTTTACATTTTTTATCCTTTTGTAAAGGGGAAAGGTTCTAGCTTAGCCCGTGTAAAAGCTAGGGAAATGTTCTAGTTTAGCCCAGAAAAACTAGGGAGTTTGTAAGGTCACTCTTTATCCTCAAAAGAAAGAACAAATTAGTGAATTTGTTGGAAAATCTTTGGTGAGGAGCTAAGGTAGTGGACGTAGACTTTGGTTGAGAAAGTCGAACCACTATAAATCGTTGTGCAATTCTCTATCTTTCAATCTCCTTACTCCCTAAACACAAAACCGTTCCGACCCCTCTTTGCAAACCGTTCCGATTGTCGATTCGAGCTTCCGAAAATCCTAACATAAACCATACCATTTTTCTCTTATAGGCGCTTAAATTATTTTTCGGTCAGTTCAAATTTAGAATGTTACGAACACTATCATTTTAAGTGTCTCGATTGTAAATATTGTTAAAAGATTTCGTTAAGTGACACATTCCATATTTCTATAATTTTGAAAAAATAGTTTAAAATAAAAACTTATATATATATATATATATATATATCGAAAAACCCAAAAGTTTCTCAAACCTAAAAAAATACAAAACTTTGAAAACTCTAATTTCAATCCCTATACCCTCGTCAATCGTCATTATTGTCATTGACCGAACCTCCACTCGATGACAAGTCGAATCTAACAACCCAAATCCGAGAAACATCATATCCTCGACGAACCTAAACTCCCAAATGGCAAACCCGAAATCCCAAAATCGCGACATTCATGTGATCTGATTGTGCGCACGACGATAAGGGAGATGACAGTCGACAAGGAAGATGCTAAATGTGACAGAGGCGACAATAGTCGTGGCCAATAATGGAGATGGTAAGGTAAGGATTAAAGAGTTAAGGCTTTTTAAATATAGTAATATTTTAAAGTTTTTTAAATAAAATTTTTAAATTACCTTAACACGACCTGGGTCACTTAACATAACTTTTTTAACGTTGTTACGATTGAGACACTTAAAATGGTAATGTTAGGCATCCAAATTGACTGTAAAGAAGTTTAAGCTCCTAAATGAGGAAACTGATATAGTTTGGAAACTTATTTTTTTATTAAGCCTTATAAATATTATGAGATTCTTTAAAATATATACAAGTGGATAATAAAACTTTTGATTTTACTAAAATATCAAAAATTTGGTATGTGAAATAAAAAATTAGGCTCAGGATTCAATTATATGTGGGAATGATTAACACCCCTACAATGTCCAAAATTGATACATAGTTGATTACATTACTCTTTGTTCTAAGATTGAAAATTTCAAGTTTGAGATTTTATGTAGTTTAAGATCTGCTATGCAAATTTGAAAAAGAGTATTAATTTATTAGAATTAATAATTATTTCTCCTAAGCAAGCGAAAGTTTTATTATTAATCTCAATAAATGAACATTACATTAATAATTTCGAGATTATGATGTATGGGTTTGAAAAGGACGTTGATTTATTTTGAGAATTAATAATGGCCACCTTCAAGCAAAAGGCGGAAGATACATTATTAACCCTAAAATAAATGAACATTGTCGTCTTTTGAAAATGAATTATGCAATTAAACAAACAATTATTAAACGTAATTATACTAAATGAGTTAATTAAAGCTTTATCAACTAAAGTGTCAAGTTATGAATTTTAAAGAAACTTAATAGAAATAAATCTAAAATTTAAGATCTAATATTAAACCTAATAAATTTTAAAAAATTATTCAATCGAATAATTAAAATGAAGCCCGATCATTGACTGGGATCATTTTGAATATTCCCCTAATTTAAGGACTAAAATGATATTAAACCTAAAGTGAAGACTCTAATATTGAACCTTAATAATTTTTATAATTTTATTGAATCAAATAATTAAAAATGGAACCTCGAGCATTGGCGGGGCCATTTTAAACATTCCCCTAAAATAAGGGACTAAAATAAAGAAAACTAAACTTAAGGTGCTTAATCTAAAGTAAAAAACTTAATCTAGGATTAGATTAAAAAACATGATAAATGAAATGGTAAAATTTAAAAGCCATTAAAATATAATAAATGACTAAATTGAAATAATTATAAAATTATAAGCTTAAATTTAATGAAAAAGGATTAAATTGAATAAACTATGAAATTTAAGAGCTAATATAAAAAACAAACGTGCTAAAAAGTAAATGACGAATAATTAAAGGAACAAAAATATAAATAACAAAAGAAAGTACCGGAATATAAATAATGTAAATAAAAATACTAAAATGCAAATAAAGGAAATAAATGTTTTGAAATGTAAATAAAGTAAATTAAAGTGTCTAAATGAAAAAGGACTGAAAAATAAAGGCATAAATTAAAGAGTGAAATGTAAAGTGCATAAAAATAAAGACTAGAATATAAATAGCAAGAAAATGAAAGGGCATTAAAATAAAAAATCCATATAACCAGAAACCTGGACTAAAATGAATAAAAATAAAGTTAGAATACATGAATGAAAACTTCCAGAAAATTAAAAACAAAAGGGAAAGAGGATTGTTTTGTATTAAAGTCAAAAGTACAAGGCCCTTTAAAGCAATAAATCTAAAAGAGTGCACGTGGGCCCATGGTCACAAACGGGCCGTTTAAGATGTTAAATAAGTCATTTTAGGCTTTGAAATGAGTTTAAACTCATTTCCTCCCTCCTGGAAACGCAAAACGGCAGTTAAAATGATTCTCTAGGAACCCTATTTTTTTGGGATTAAAAACAGAGGCAATAAAAACGGAAGGAAGATGAGCAAAGCAGGAGCTGAGTTACCAGAGATGGTGATGTTGGAGATTCTCTTGAAGCTTCCTGTTAAATCCTTGATACGATTCAGGTGCGTTTGCAAGCCTTGGTCTTCATCTTTTCAAACCCCTCATTTCATTGCCAAACATCAGCACAACCTCCTCAAAAAACAAAAACCTTAATCTCCTCCTCAAACTTTGTGGTGTTAACTCCCATGATTACATCCACTAATTCTCTCAACTTTCGATCGAGAAAGGCCAAAACTTTAGAGTAAAACACAATATTCACTTACCCATTTTCGAGAATTGTTGGTATGTACCTTTAGTTAATGGTCCTTGTAATGGGATCTTGTGTTTACATGATTCTGGTAAGGCTGCCCTTTGGAACCCATCTACCAGAGAGTTCAAAATCCTTAATCCACAGTCCAACGCCCTCCTGCATTAGATTACACTAGTTTCGGCTGCCTTCGTTTTGGGTATGATTCTCAGACTGATGACTTCAAAGTTGTAAGATTTGTTACTAATTACTTTGAAGAGAATCTAGAAGAAGGGTTGATGGCAGATTGGATCAACCAAGTCGAGTTATATTCCCTTAAAAGCAATTCATGGAAGCAAATTCCACTTGCTGGGGTTCATGCTTATGGTTCTCCTTTGTTTAGTAATTATGCCAATGGGTTTTATTATTGGCAGGCTGTTGGGGATTTTGATCACCTTATTCTTTCATTTGACATGGTTAATGAAAATTTTAGGAGATATAAATAGATTATCAATAGAAAATGCAAAATAAAGTATCTAAAATATATGATAATTTGAAATTTTCAAGGGGACACCCCTCGGTCCATCCCTGATTTGAATGATTCTCATTGCCTGAAGGGCAAACTTCTAAGCTTAAACATTGACAATGCCATCGAGGGATGCACAGAATTAGTATTTCCTCAGAAATCAAAACAAGTATGTTCCTCTGCTCATCATAGAGATTGGTTCAAAGAATATTACTTAAAAATAGCTATAATGCTGACAAGTTCCATGCTACTTTCCAGTACAGCAGGTTTCAACTGAGAACTTGAAGACATTGAATGAAATGCATAAAACTTCATACAACAACAAGAAGCAGGATCCCAGGGCAATCATAAACAACAACAGTAATGGCAATTACCACATCTTGGATGGGGCATTAATAGACTAAACAACAAAGGCCTGCATCTTCCCATGAAATCTAATACGAATTCAATCACCAAGAACCAAATCTGCAACTACAAACAATTTTTCTTGTGTTCATGTCCTAGTTACAGCAGCTATCAAACAATACATTAAAATTTAAGAAATAGCTTACTGGATTCTAGGTTGATCAACATTCGTCAATGCTACTAAAGTCTTGAAAGATCAAAACCCCCTCGTCGTCGAACCCTGCCAAATCTCAACGGCTTGCTGATCCTTACGAGTCACAAACATCTTGTTTCCACCAAATGCCAAGTTGGTTATCCTCAAGCCTCCGGTATCCTTCACTCTACCCATCAAATTCTTCCTAAAAACCCTTCCCTTTAATTGACCCTCACTGGTCTTATCTGAACCCATCGCGACCTCTGACCACAACTCTATAGCCCATCCTTTACTGCAAAACACTTGATTTCCATGGCTCTCTATTTTGCATCCAAACCCTTCTTTCTTCCCATTAACAACCTTCCTTCTATCCCCAAGACAAATCCATGGATTACTATTATCATCTGCATCATTATTCACACTCCCTAAACGCCTCAAATCCGCATTAAAAACCTCCCCGGAATTCACTCCAACCTTGAAGAGCACATTCAAATTATCCGAAACACAAACATCGGCAAAGCAATCAACTTTCTCCTTCAAATCAAAGACCACATTACCAGACCTTATATCCCAAAACCTAATATTCCCTGTCACACCCGATAACCCGCTATGTGACCCGGATGCCATAAGTAATCCATAACTCGAAACCCATTTCAGCTTTGTAGCAGGGATGGCTGAATCAAGATCAGCCCCGAAAATCTCGTTATGCCCGATCTCAGTAACAGGGTTCAAAGTATTCAAATCATAAACCAGGATAGAATTGGAGTTTCTCCTACTGGATTCAAAGCTGGTAAACAAGAATTCGCCTGATGAACCGATGGCTTGAACCGTGGAGCCAGACCGGGTCGAATTCTCCCAGTTGAGAACTTGTTTGACGCATTCTCCATGGAGGTCGAGAATCTGAAGCCCCGAAAAGTCTGTCGCCCCGGCCGCCACGATATCCGGGGATAAAGCGAGTAAGGAATCGACGGCTGTGAATTGGGTCAGAATCGTTGACTTTCTCGTCCGCGACCAATCGAATGACGTGATCTTGCTACCGTGGGATACATGCAAGGACCCAAACGGCGTCGAGGCGATCGCGGAAGGGCAGTCCCTGCCGTTTAAGGGCAATACGGACGACTTTTGGAGGGCAAAACCGTCAAACTGAGAAGGGTTGCTCAAAGAGCTGGTCAAGAGGGACTCGAGGCCATAGAATCTGGATTCTTCGATGAGGTCACGGAGGTCGAAATCCTTGACTTTGAAGGGAGGGCACCGCTACGGAGGAGGGAGAGGAGGAGGGAAAAATGATCCGGGTCTCGGTCGACGAACCGGTCTGAACCCGTTCCCGCAATTTGAGAAAGGAGGGATTTAGGGCCGGCTTGTGTTAGGGTCTGCTTGGTGGTTTGGAAAATCTGGCCGCCGACGTTGATCGACACGACATTGCTGTTTAACTCCGGTTCTGTTTCCAAACTCTGCATTGCAATCGTTGACATGATTTTTCACCCCCCAAATTCTTGGAAAGAGATGAGAATGTTGGGTTTTGGAATAGATTCTTTGAAGAAAGATGTGGGCAATTAGAGAAAATAAAGGGGGGAAGGGAAATTGATTGCTGGGGTCTTGTAGAAGGCGACAGAGTTTGGTCTGGTTTGTTGTGAAAATGAGAAATGAAATCCCAGCATCGGAATGCATATTTAACGTTAGTTGAATGAACCGAAGCTGACTAACCGAGTCGTCAAACTCCAACCTGGGCAGACTTTTTGTTTGACCATCCATTTGTGGAACGAGAATGCTGTTTTGTTTTCTTCTTTTATTTAAGGTAAACTATGCGTTTAATGTCTAAATTACTCATTTTAATATATTTTAGTATTTAAAGTTTTAAATTTATTTAAAATCGTATATAAAGTTTAATTTTATTTTATTTTAGTACTCCATTTAAAACTTAACATTAAATTTTAACAAAATTAAAAGTCTAGATACTAAAACAGACTAAAATTAATTCAGATACTAAACGAGCTAAATTTTTAACGGCGACCAGATACCCGCCGGAATACTAGAATAAAATTAAAAAGTTAAACATTAAATATGAATTTGAATTAAAACAAATCAAACTAATAATTTAAGTACTAAATACATAATTTACCCTTTATTTAAAGAAATTCTTCTATTAAGGAAAACATGGATGATTGTTTTGGATACTAGTGATTGGTGGTGGATATTAAATTTCAAATTAAGACAAAGTTTTATATTATGATTAAATTTTAAATTAAAGCACGTATAGAACTTTTGTTCAAAGTAAAATAAAATAAATAAATAAAAGATTTTAGTATGGTAAATTGGATTTATTAATTTAGTATGGGTCTAAAAAAAAACTTGCCGGGTAACTGCAAATATCAGCATAACTAGAAATTATCCCCGGAGCGAATATAATTCAATCCATTCGCAAATATCAGCATTCTAAAAATTGACCATCACACAAAAATTTCATTACTTTAACTGCAATCCTGTCATTCATATTTTACATAATGAGGGCACAAATCGAAGACTCTTTTGATATGATATCTATCTGCTTATATTGGAGATGTATACTACAAACAACAAAAATATGCCCGAGACCTTGTTTCTTTTAGTCGGGATGACTCGAATACATTCTTCATGCAAATCGCCATCTGACTAAAAAAAATAACATTAAAGTTACCTGTGATATGGTTGATTAATTGTTCCCTGTTGCTGTTACCAAATTGTTTAGATCGCCGACACTGCATCTAGTTCCTAAAATGACGTGAAAATCAGAAGGCATCTACTAAAATGCATACCGGTTAGCTAACTCCTGGCTGCATCATGGAGAAGAAAGACCAATTCCGGGCTACACTGTTGTTCTTTCCGGCTACCTTCTCATTCGCCCACCAATCAGAATTAACAATAGGCTTATGGGCATCAACTCCATCGACATTGTCAAAATTGAATTCTTTAGCTGACCCAAGTGTTAGGCATTGATTCTCATGGTGGTGTGGTGTGCCTTCCCCATCTGCTGCAGCTTTCTCTGGTCTTTCATTGGTTGTTTCACCAACACGACATTCATGATCGTCCACCAGCTTAGTTGCATTCTCTTCTCTTTCTCTTGTTGCTTCATTCTGTGGAGATCTTGACACGGCTTCAGATGGTGTTGCTGCCTCTGTTTCCACACTTCTTATAACTTCTACAGTAGTCAAATCAAATGAGAGTCTATGATTAACTGCAACCTGATCAGTTGGGTTTTGTTTATCCACACGTGGATATGATACAGTTTCAGAGATCTGTCTACCCTGAAGAAATCCACCGCGAGGTGTGGACGTTGTAGCATCTGGGTTTAAAGTCCTAGAACCATGACATGATCCCCATTCACGGTTGGAAAGCTTATCAATGTCGAAGAGCTTGAGAGGATTACCCATCCGGAACTCGGGAAAGCGTAAACCAGCAGCAAAATCACAATCAGGGAAAGGAGATGATGTGCCAGAACCCGAGATTCCTGAGCTTGGTGAGATCAATTGGCCAACTGGGCTCCCGGGTTGAAGCTGATAGGACTGAAATTCATAGTGGGATATGGGGAATCTCTGTCCAGCCTCTCCAAACTGGAAGTTGGGGCCAAGGAACTGAGCAAATGGCACCTCAGGTGAGGAAGGTGTAGTCAAGTGTATCGACTCAGCGGGAGGAGTGAAGGGAGCAGTCGATGGTTCAGTGGTGAAGGTCGAGAAAATAGGTGGTGAAACTAACTGAGTTTCATAAGCATAAGGGCCAATTGCAAATATAGAAGCAGGCCCTGGAGAGTACATACCAGCAGATATGGAGGTGAGAGACACTAAACCAGCTGGAGACCGAGTAGCAGAGGGGGGTTCAGATGGAAGGAAAGAAGCAGGAGAAGAGGGTGGTGCAACAAAAGGAAGTGTCATGGCAGGTGCTTGGGTTGGAATTTCAGCAGCAGGCACATTAGCATGGGAAGCACTCGTTTCAGAAACAAGAACAGCAGGTCCAATTCGCTTTTTTTGTTTGTAAGATCCAAAGCACCAATATTTGCTCCAGAAACCACCCCATCTTTTCTTCTGAACGTTAAGATAAAATGCATTATTACAGGAGATTGCACCAAATTCTTAGGTAGCTAGAAGAAATCAAATAAATGACAGGTACGATTAATGAAAACTTTTGTTCTAAAAGACAAAAAGGCATATTACAGCAAAAATACAACCAATCCTCGTCGAACTTTACCAAAGTGTATCAAGTAATGAAGCATACTAAAGTATATATGCTCAAAGGTTATTGGACATCATGCTATAAATGTACTTTCAACTCTTTGGCAAAAAGAATACAAGCTTGTGGCATCTTTTTCCATTTCAAAGCTTTTAACGTAGAAGATAACCCATTTAAACCTGCCCTTTTAACATCCAAGTTTGGGTCAAGGAGCAGAAGCACTTCCCACCCTTTGTTTAAGTATTTCCGAACCTTTTCCTCGGTGATTACGGTTTGCCACTCTTCAACTAGACCTCCAGTACATGGAAATCATACCTACGGGCAGAACAAAGGGCACTTCCCACCTTGAATTTGGATGTTCTCATGATCTTATGATTTACTGAAGTTTATAGATTTCCAAAATCCCAACGAATCCGAAACCTTCTAATTAGCTATAACTGTGTCATGGCCATATCAAAGATTGCCTAGTACAATTAACAACCATATCTAAGTTCCAAATTTTACAATATCAGCTTGGCGCTACTCTTCTTTTGTTTCTTTTAGGAACTTTGCTGAATGAAAGTAAAACAGGAAATAAGGCATGAGGAAGATCATCTAAATACAAGGTGTTTCCAGGGTAAATAAGTAACCAAAAATTATTATATACTACTAATTAGCACTGTTTCATCAACACCGACTATTCTCATATTCCCGAACTGCCAAGTTCAAAAAGCAGAAAACATGTATGTTTTGAAGTACCAAAAACCAATTTGTACAAGCAAAAACTGCAGCTTCTGAACTTAAGTATCCCTAAACACAAGCAACAGTGAAAGACTCTTGATTCAGGAACAAGCCAACCTTCAATAAAATCTAAGCCTAAAATCACAAGCATTTAAGTTACCGTTTCTGAAGCCAAAAAAAGAGGCGAAATTTGATTAAAGATAGAAGTTCACTAAATCAGCATGTAATATAATCAAAGAACAAAAAGGGGAAAAATCGAATCAGGCAAAAACATATCACGAAATGAAATCAAAGAAGCTTAAAAACATCTGGAACTCAACCAAATCGAAATAAATTCAATTAAAACAATCAAGTCAATAAAAAAACAGTATTAAACATACATAAAAAAAGGAAAATAAAAATTTTACCTGACCAGTAGATTGTGGAACACGATTCTCAGCTGAAGCGATCGCGTTAGCAGCAGCATATATAATCTCCAAAGGGTTATTCATAGCTCTAGATTCTCCATTCGCGCCTCTCATTTCTACTTTCTTTTTTCTATTTTTTTCTGGCGAGCCAAACAGCTCAAAACTATCTTCCTCTCGGAATTGTCAAATTTTCTCGATAATAAAATATATAATATGTTCATAATCGAGGTCAAACACGGCAATCACTTGGTTCTATGAGCTTAGGTAATGTTCATAAATTGCCTAAGGTTTCGCTCCATTTACTTAAATGCCCTTCCACTTTTAGAGGATTAATTATAATGTATAATAAGCTAATTATTTAACTTCAAATTCTCATCACACGTATGTTCTTGAAAAATGAATTAAAAAATATTTAGTAATTTTTTAGTTTAATAAAATATTTTATAGAAGTAATCATGAAAGATAGAGAAGATGGTTGTAAAACTTAATTGGAGCTGGTTATATTAATGTTAGTAGAGGTGAAATTAGATTTGATGTAATGAAGTGGTTGCGGAAGGTGTGCACGTGTGCGCATCCACGTGTTCATGGGGTTCCGTGCGCCACCGCATATAATAAATAAAGTAATAAAGAAAAGGGGGTCCCATCAAATAATTTTTCCATCCCCATGGACTTCCTCGAAATTCGACCCCTTTACCTGCCACTTCGACTAACTCCCCCTCCGTCCCCACCACCGTTGGTCCCACCATTTCCTATCGCATTTGCCCAACGGATTTCTCTACCTTCGGCTTACTCATACCATCCGATATGATGGCAACATATCGGGTTAGGGTGGCGGGTTTTGTCAATTCAATCTGAAAATATATATTATTTATCTGAATTAAATTTGATTTAAAAATTGTATATTCTTCACTGGATCGATTCAATTAAAAAAATATTTATTCTTTATCGAATTTTGATATGATTTGAATTTTTTAAAATATAAATTCGACTCGATATAATAAAAAATAAGAATTTAATTAAATAATAATACATTTTTAAAGAAATTACATTATTATTCTCGGATCAGATCGAAACTTTTTCACCTCCACCCAAATTTGATCCGACCTCGCCCTTTAAAAAATCCGACCAGAATCGAGCCACACCCAATTTCTTTTATTAAAAAACCCAAACCCTATCGAATTAGATCGAAACTCATTGTATTCAAATTAAATTGTCATCCTAAATGTGTATCTAATTTTGAATGGATATTATATTTTTGAGTAATTATATCTATAATTATTCAATTATAAGAGTATTTTAATTTAATTGTTGATTTTAAACTTTTTTTCAATCAGAATTGATAATTATTCATAATAATGTTAATTTAGTTATTTTCGTTAATATTTGATAAAAAAAATTGGCATGTGTTATTAAGTTTATTTATTTTTTTCATACTTTCTAAAAGACAAATCACTTTTATTTTTATTAAATATATGTTAATGGCCAACTTTATGTTTTCATTTTACAAAAAAATATAACGTTATTGGTAAATCAACACAAATTCATGTTTGTTTTAGGGAAAAACATGAAAAAAATATTAGATGTCTATATATTTTTGGAGGAAAAAAATAATGTGTCTTTCAGTTAAGAAAACAAACTCAATGGACTATTTTACTAATATTTTTCATCGTTGACCGTTACAGTATCAGCATTCCAGATCAGAGTGTTAATGTGGTGGTCTACAGTGCTGACATGGCAATCTATATATCATATTTGAGTTATCAATTTAGTCCATCTGACATGTTATATGCCACATTAATTTGTCATTCTAAATTGTCATGTTAGTACCGTGGACTGCCAAGTCAGTACCGTAACAGTCAATGAAGAAAAAAATGTTAGTCAAAAAATCACATTGAATTTATTTCATGAGTTTAAAGATCGTATTAAAATAAAAATAATGCAAGAGTAACATTAAATTTTTCTTCAAAAGTGCAGCGATCTCTAACGTTTTTTTGCCAAAAGAAATATCTAAGTGGATGATAAGTCATTTTCGCTAGAACCATATTCAATTGATTAATTTAATATTTAACTATCATTAAAACTTAAATTAAGAAATAACAAGAACTTCAATAATGGTATTAAAGATTAATCATTAATTTAGATTTTTTAAGAATTATATTTTTTATTATTCATTTAACTGTCCAAATAAAGAATAATTTAATAAAGGCGCACATTACCTGAAAAGTCAAATGCCATCCTTTTTGACCGACAGCGGCATCGTCGTCGTCATCTTATGTTGTCATACTTATTTACTAATTATTGAAATTGGAACTTTTATGTCAACATTTTAGGTCAAGGAAAAGATAAGTTCAATTGATCTCTTATCAACTTTTTAGTGACACACAAACCACAGCCGTATTTACTAGTTATCTAATTATGTGTGGTGTTAAGGGGTCAAAGAATTATTATATCATCTCTATATAAAATATATAAAATAAATATTACAATCCAAATACTTTAAAAATCTATAATAAAAAAATTATTATTTATCTAATTATGTTGATTTTGAGTTGTCAGAGATAGATCGTGAATTTTATCAGATCATATTAATACATCAATAAAAGATTATTTTTTATATTACGATCCGAATACTTTTAAAATCTACAATTGACAAAGTTCAGGATTAAGTCTGATTAAGTTTAATGCATATCTTTAACAATTCAAAATCAGAATGTTTGGTCATGAGCTTCTCAAACGTCATATTGTTTAGATATAAATTTTTTAAACATTTAAATATACATTTAACTACATGATTGATCACTTATGTTTATGTTTTTTTCAATTTTTTATTGATTTAAAAAATAGAGTATAATATATGATCATTTTTTTATTTAATTAAGATATGATCACTTTCGTTTTTATTGAATTAATATGTAGTCACCACAAGTTAACTGTAGTTAACAGTTAATATATTAGGTGACGTGATATTTTAGTATAATCACACGTTTGATTAATGTTATTTACATATTCTCTTAATTTAGTCTCATTTTTAATAAATTTAATCATCTAATCAAATAATGTCACTTACCACTGGTCTAAAATAAAACAAAGCAAATTGGGGTAAAGGGATTTGAATCTAGGTTTCTTTAGAAACCAAGTACGTGCCCAATCATTGAGTCAAGCCCAATACTTAATCTAAAATAGATAATACGATGTATATATTTTGCACTTTTAGTGTATAAAAAAATACTTAACTTAAATTTATAATTTTTTATATATATTAACTTTTAAAAATATTTTTTATATTAACTTACTAATATATTTTATTATTAATTTAAGTTATATATATGCTGTTGTTTGGTATAGCATCGCCATGGCCGGATTCGTGACGATGCTGACGAGGAACAACGATAATTATTTATTAAATTTATAGTACGCCAAAGCCAACGATAATTTGGTATAGCATCACCTTTGGCCCGAATTTCTTTTGTTTTTTTTTTTCAATCAGAGTGTGACACATGATATGTGGTCTCATTTGATTGAAAAATTAAATTTATTTTAATTTATTTAAAGTAAGACTAAATTAAAATAGTATGTAAATAGCAATACTAAATGTGTGATTATACTAAAATATTTAACTGTCACATCATGTAATATGTTAACAATAGTTAACTCGTAATAACCATGTCTTAATTAAACAAAAATGAAAGTGAGCATATATTATATTTTTTTAAAATTAGTGAGAAAAAGTAGATAAAACACAAACATAAATGATCAATTATGTAGACAAGCCTTAAGTATACTACTTTAAATGCACAACCATTGAGTGAATGAAGATAAATCTAATATATGTACATGTTGTCACCATTGTTTAGCTTGTGCAATTATGTGCCTTAGACATTCAGTACGTGTATTTATTAAATTTGTATATTTGTAGTTTTTTTTTCTTATTTAATATTTATAATTTATAGTTTTGCTTTTGTGATATAAAAGAATAGTAATGATAAAAATAAATTGGAATAAGTGGTAATCTTGAAAATAATTTTATTATGATGATATTTTAATAAATAAGAAAAAACCCACAGAGGGGAAGGGGTGAAGATGAAGATAAGACCTAATACGTAATACC